ATGAGAGAAGATAGTTGTGGTGGTGAAGGGAAGTATAGATAAGCATTTCTGTGGCATGATGTTCTCTGGAGCTGCTACTACAGAAAGTGACAGAAAAATGTAAAGTTGTTTTGGACATAGCCGTTGTCTGAGAGTAACACAACAGCCTAATTAACTGTATTTAAAATGCAGCTAGTCTAGGGGTTTGAAAAGTCAAGTTAAATCTCGCAGGACCCAGAAGGAAGGAATGTGCCAGGATTCACTGAATAACCTTCATGTTTTTCCACCAAGGCAAGAGGCCACTGCACCAGTGCTGCTAAGGCCTGTCTTCAACAGCTTGCCTCTCTAGCACAAGAACAGATTTTATGCGTCTTTACAAGGTAGTCACTGCAGTCTCTGCAGTGTTCTCTCTGAACATGTTTCTGCACCACCCTAACAGTGGCAGGGGCACCCATTTGCCTGGGGACATACAGGAGCAGCTATTAGTATAAGTATTTTTATAAAACTGATAGTGGCACTGATCTTATTCTGCTGCATTTTGCTTCCACATCACATGGGGTGCTGTAGGTAGACAGCTGGAATTTCTGTACGTGTGTTGCATGCAAAAGCAGTTGCATGAATATTCCCTTTTATTAATCTGACTGAATTCAGTGACTCAAAGACAAAACAGAGAAGCCTGCAAATTTTCTTTTGTTCAGAGACTATGCCTTCTCTGAGCCACATTACACACAAAATGTATGTGGGGTAACCCAAAGTGAAGAGCGAGCATAAACCAGCTGCCTTTTTGTGAAGCTGTGTAAAAACTCTGCATCATCACCACAGCCACCACACCTGACAGGATTTATGTAGTACAGCAGTTAAGATGAAGGAAAAAAGTACAGGGATGACAGATTTTCTTGCCAGAGAACTCTGAATTTAGCATTATTCACGTTCTCTCAGTATTATTCTGGGATAAAGAGATAGAAGCATCTTATGCTTATCAAACTCTGCTGTTTCTTAGTACTATGTTTGGGCTAGTGTTTGCACGTTGGTTAGACACTCTCGTGCCCCAGGACAACACAGCAGAACATAGGATACTTGCCATGCAGAAATAGCTGCCTGCCACACAATCCTGTTTTTCCATCAACATTTTGCAAGAAAACTTGCCACACTGGAGTTCAACACTGACACGAGACTGAGGTTTACTTTTCTACAATTTGTTTTGCCACATGTTGTTTCTGTGTACTTTTACAGCTTCAGCAAATAAAGCAACTAGACTGCGCATCACTATACTGGGAGACACACACTACCCAGTTTACTCCAGATCACACTAATAAGGCACCTGATTCAGCACCCATGCAGAGTTCCCTGAGGTTTTCACTTCTGCCTTATCAGCACCACAAAGCAGCTACTGATTTTGCTCAGCTTTTCATTCCTGTCAAAAAATGCAGGATGACGGTGTGTAGGCTTTTACAAATGGATTACGAACCTGAAGTAAAATGCTACTGCTTACTTGTGTGATTCCAGAATTTTCCAGCACACAATCTCTCAGCAATTGCTGTATGCTGCCTTAAAAAGCCACAAGGAACATAACATCAGATCTTGAAAGGAAATGGTCAGGACTGACTGCCACAAAAGAGCATATGCAAAAATCAACATACTGGAAAGCTGTACAATAAAACAAACCCACACATCATATAACTTTATGTGACTATTAATGAGACTTGATATCCACACTGTGATTAAGTAGAAGACTGGCCTTTGTTTCAAGGCTTCTAACATTTTCACATACTACTATTTTATTCATAAATGTCTGCAGGGTCCTACTGTATGCTATGCAATCTGCTGCAGGAACACATGGCTTTTGTTCTATCTTGCTTTTCGTATTGCCAAAACTTGTGTTCTTTTCTGTACATTAAAGATCAGAACAAAGGTAACATTTACCAAAATAATGGAGGGATTGGTTTGTTGGCTGGCTTTCAATTAGTTACAGATTGTTTCCTTTGTTTTAATCTCCAGCCAAAACATAAAGAAACAGAAATTACAATGAAGAATTCAGTCAGGAAGAAAGAACAAACGAAGACCCCCACCCTCTAATCCACCCATCTGGCTTTGTAACATGCTGCATTGTGTTATGCAGGACAGTATTCTGAATAAGTTTATTGATTTACTCTTGTCTTCAAACAGAATTACAGTCTTGAAATAAGTGGATAAGCAGGCTTCCCTTTAATTTCTCAAATATTTACAAACAAATCTGTCTATACGCAGGAGAAATAAGCAGGGCATATAAGAGTTCACCATTTTTAGGTGAAAACCAGACCTTTTAGTATTAGAGGTACTTGCATCTTTCACACTACAACTGCCTGCAGACATTATTCTTTTCTGGCTATCATTGAGTTATTAGAGCTTTCTCTTGCAGGCAGCACAAAGGAATGTCTAAAAAAAGAGGTTAGCACAAATGTTGTCAAATACTGCCCAGACAACAAACTAAGAAGCAAAGGGTGTTTGCCTACTTCCCACCTTAAAATGAAACATTTTGGAAACAGTTTTAAAATCTCAATAACTATCCTCACTTTAGAAGCCTTAGTGAAAAAGATTTCTCTCATAACATGTCTAATTGAAAGAGTATTCCCATGGTGAAGCAGGGTAAGATGAGTATTGCATGAATTGGCAATAGCTCAGATTTGAGTCACCTCTCAGAGATGTAATTTCATTGATTTCAACTAAATTACTTATGATTTGTGCTATAGTAAGAAAGAAAAAAGAGGGAAAGGAAGAGCTTTCATCTTGATTTTGTACCAGAGAAGTCAATAGCAGTTATTCTGTTGACTGCAGTGAGTGCCAGATTCAACTCAGAGCCTGAGGAACACAATTTTACAAAATCTAGTAAATTCTATTGCAGCTCCCTGGAGTGAAGACCTAGATGGACAGGTTCTGCTTTCCTCTTTTTCTTTTTTTTTTCTTTTTTTTTTTTTTTGTTGTCCACTATTTGACCTGAGAACATTAATATCAAAGGGCAACTCTTAAAAAGCCAAAAAATTATCTCAGAAATGTCTCTGTCTCTTCCACTGTGCACAGCAAAGTGAAAGTGCTCATGTGTTTCCTTCAGCAAACAGGCAGTATAAGGTGGAACTTGATCCTGCAAACATCACACGCTAGCTTCGCTTTAATCACCCAGTAGGAGAGTAATTTCATGAGTGAGAGGAACTTGACTAAGTACCAGTAATGAATCCTGTAATCCATGCAGTGAAAAGAGTGAGAAGCAGAGACTTCAGGTAACAGCGCCAGAAACAGTCATTATGGTTGCTCTCAAGAGTTTGTTCCCTAACTGGAACTTGTGCCTGCTCTTTATGTGGCTGCTTTCTATGAAAATGTTAAATCTTGCACTATTTACATGTAGGAATATCAATTTGTTTTCTAAAAAAACAGAGGAAAAAGCAGTATTTAATTAATCATAAAACAAATTGATTAACTCAGCCCAGTGTGTTTTCTGGATTCTTAACAATTTGCTACAGCTAACAGTCCTTGCTTTCGCCTCACATCATTAATTTTCAAAGTTATCATTAATCTCCAAGAAAAAGATTGAACTTTGATCATTATTGCTTAATTACATGGAAAAATAGACAGATAGTTAATATTAAATTGCTTTACAACAGGCCAACTAAGTTATCTTCAATTCTCAGAGCATTCTACAGCTGTCTTTTCATGTCAGGTAATAATTAATAAAATTATTAATTTAAACAAAGATTTTTATTTCTACTAGTGAGATAGAAAATCTTTATTTGAGCTTATGAACACTCATATTTTACTACCCAACTCGTATTGTATTTTGTTTACCATATGTGAGCCCCCAAGGTAAAGCAATTGCAAGCTTTACCTTGACATTTCTATGTAAATTGCTTGAAGTTATGCATGGAAAAGTCATACAACAGGTTCTGTCTTTCAAACAAATGAGAGAATGTACTTCTAAAGTCTAGAAGGACAAATTTAAGATCAAAGTCATGAGAATAAAGGTGGACTTAAATACGTAAAGTCAGAGAAGTCTGACTTCTCAGAGAAGTAGGGAACTTTTTATTCCTTGCCACATTTATTTGGTAATCTCAGCTACCCCCTTAGACTTAAGCTTTCAACAAGCCTTCAGTGGAAAGCTTGGTGAAAGCATCTTATTTTTCTAATCAGAAAAAAAAAAAAAATTTCCTGACTCTTCACAACTAGTCATTGAAACACTGAGGGGTAAACAACTTCTGAATGAAGAGAAGAAAAAGGCAGTTTTGGCATATACTTGACAGCCAAAGCACATCAAATTTCTTTTGGGTGTAGTGCCTGCACAAGGTCTTCTTTTGCTCCTTTATCACCTTGAGTAGTGAAGAAGAGAGGCTTAGATAACTCAAAATCTAGCTATATTTAAACAGTTCTCCTGTCTAAGTGCATGAAGGGCTAAAGGAAGGCGGAAATAGAACATCTTCAGCTGCAACTTTAATTCAGGTGGGTTCCTTCTACAGTGTTAGTAGAAAGGCTCCCGTTAAAGACAGGCACGGACTCTCATATAAGGGAAGGAAAGGAGGAGAGCATTAAAACACAGCTCCCCTCCCCCAAGAGTCTGAATTATTTTTCACAAAATTCATACTTTTCCACCCCTGGCGTTGTACATATAATCTGAAGAATCAGAAATGTGGACTGAAAATGATTCTGGGTACTCCATCACTGATGCAGGATCAAGTTGACATCAGCAGATGCTCATCTGACATGCTCCTAAAAACCCCTAAGGGTTCATACAACTTCTGCAGACACCTTTCACCCTTTCAAATCTACCATTAAAATTAGGGCATTTTGCCTGTTTTATAACTGAAACAAATTAAATAGCATCAACAGCTCAATGCATTGTTCCTTAGCCTAGCAGTGACAGAAATTATTCCATTTCCAGCAACTGCTTACATATCATTAAACATAACCCCTGCCCCCTCTGCCAGTCCTCTTTAGCAGAAACAAACCCCATTCCTTCTGCTTTCCTTCATAGGTCATGTTCACTAAACTTCTTATTTCCCAGCTGTCATTACATTTGCACCCTCTTTCAATATGTCAAGATCAATTTGTCAGCCCTAGTGAAGCAAGAATGTCCTACTGAAGCATGAACACGCTGACCAACAGATAGTTTCTTTGGCCACTGATCTTTTAAGAGAAGCAACAGAACAACATTTTCCCCAAAGCCAGGCAGTGTTTATATCCAAGTGGCTGACCCCACAATTCTTTTCAACATATAATAATACATTATTAGTTTATTATAGGTTAATTTTTGTTTTCAAAATAAGATAGAATGTGGAAGACTACTAATGAAAGCTTTGCAGTGGAAGATGACAAACAAAGTATAATTAGAGATGATTCCCCCTTTAATGAAAACATTCCTCTTATTTTTTTGAGGTTTCTTTCTTGAAATGGAGAGAAAATGTTCTTTCCTGTTATTACTTTCTGTTGTCATCTCATGCACACTTTCCTGCCCCTCATTATCCAAAAGCACATTCCCTTATTATTCTGCTTTAATTTCCTTCAGAGGATAAAAGATGACAACAGTTTGTGTCCATCTAGCAAACAGAGAACAAATACTATGTCAATCCAGAACTCAGCCAATTTAATTCAGCTCAGGAACATGGAAGATTTGAAGTGAACAATTTTTGTGACACGAAGAGTAATGAAAAGTCGACAACACGAAATGGATTTCTTTTACTATTACAACCAAGTCTGACAAGTTTTGGGGTCAAATCCCCTGATCTAGATGACTTTTACAGGCAAAACCCTAAATCCTTGTCACTGAGAAAGAAAGGGTATATCTCATCTTCAAACAAGCTCTTTAGCAGATACAACCAACATGATGGTCAGGAATTCCTTGGCAATATCTCTAAGCCCAACCCCTCCCACTGGCTTTCACTGTATAATGTTTAAGTTGTTAATGTATTGCAATAGAATTCAAGATATAAATGTTTACACAACATCACATATTACTATATACCACATATGGCAAGGAAACAATTCATTAGGTGATAGTATATAAAGCAAAGGGCTCCAAGGGAAACCCAAAAGCACAGTGAGATCATATTGATAGACCAACATTTCAGGAGGAAGAGTGGGAAATCTCCCCTCTCTCCTTCAAGCTTACTCTTTTATCATACCAATATAGCCAGCACTAAAACAACTTTTATCCCAAGGACAAAAAATTATATCAGATTCACACGTCCACTTATGAGCAGATTTGTAATTAATAATTTTCCCCCATATCTCCAGTGCTGGATGGTCCTTTCTTTTCTTCCTTTATCACATTGTCTTGACCCTCCCAATTCTGTGCGTGACCACAAAATACTGACTTTTTCACAAGCATCTTTTTTATGATGACAAGTGTGACCCTATGTACCATATTTCTACTGCCTGAAATGCCTTCCTTGTTTTTCTCTCTTTTTTCTCTCTCTCATGCTCTCCCTCTCTCTTTTAATCTCAGTTGAACAAATCTCTTTTGCCTTTTACTTCTAGTGACTAAGAGCCAAAGCAGAAAGGGATTAAGTCACCATAGGATGCCTTTAACTCTGTGAAGCACTGGGGGTTGAGTCAGTGCCTGAGAAAGCTGACAGGTATTGAAGCTCTGGTACTGCAAACAGGCATGTGATTATATCTTTGCACAGAATTAAATAGATATTTGAGCACTGAAAAGATTAGGGAGTTCAGCTATCTCACCCTGGGGAGAAGGGGGAATAACTACAAGTGCAAAGTACAAAAATCCAACATGGCAATACAGCATGACTTACTTAGAAATATTTTTTTGGCATATCCACATTGCTAACCAAAAAGCATTAAAACAAGGAAAAGTTACAGGACACCTTGAGGCCAAGAATAACTTAGTACCATACTACTCCATCACCCAGTTTGTTCATGCTTTTTGTTTGAGATTTGGTTTTTTTAGTTTGTTTGTTGGGGCTTTTTTATGTGTGTGTTTACTCAGATCACCTCCTAGGTGTTCAAGGTGCTTACATCAATGCCATTGATAGTAGAGTCTGCATACCATAGTCCATAAGGATTAGCTGATTTAATTTCCAAAACTCAACACTCTTCTAAAGAAGCTATTTATCAGTTCTTAGGGCTGCTAAATTTAAATGGCAGAATTTGCTCTCAAACGATTCTAAAGTAACCAGTTCTTTCTCCCTGTTAAAAACACTCACTTCTAATGACTATGTTTTGACTATTTGCAGTCAGAGACTGCGAATACAGTTTAAAAGACAAAGTGGAGAGTCAGATGGAGGTAAGATGAATCAGTTTCAAACTCACTTCTGTTACAAAAACCTTGATGATGCTTATAGGCAGGAACTCCACTGCCAGGGACTTACAGCCCTTTGCTGAATCTCCGCTACCCATTCCTCCACTCTGCTATTTGCTCCATTAACCTGCTACCCTCTGTTAGCCCTGAGTCCTCAGCTGACAGAGGGAGACATGGTTTCCAGTACAGGTCTCACCAAAGGTGCACAGCTACAGAACGAGAGATGGCATGCTGGGAAGGGGGAGGCACGTCACAATTTAAACCCCGAAGTATACCCCTGAATTTTACAATCAACTAGTTTCAAGTGTTATATGCACATTTTAAAAGCCACAGCAGACTTGTACATTGCTGTCTGCCCATTTATCCCTGTTACAAATATATTTCACTGCAGTATTTGTTTCATGCTGCCACTAAGAACAAGCGTCACCTTTCTTGCTGCTTTTCTGTCTCAAGTACAAGGGCAGAGCTAACTCCCTCCATTAGGTCAACATGGCATGACTGTCCCCAGGTTCCTCAAGCCCCTGTCCCTTCACAAGTCTCTAATTATGCACAAATCCTGGCGTAATTCTCCTTTACTCTATGCTCAGCAATAGCAGTAAATTATTATTATTCTTCAGCAACAGTTGCCTAGAAAAGACTAAATCTCTTTAATTTTTTATTTATTTTTTTTTTTTTTACCTGGAATAAAGCAGCTATGTGGTAAAAATAAGAAGCACAAGCACTCCCCCTTGCTAAAAGGAATCTGAAAAGACCTCAAGTGGAGAAGTAACACCTATGTTTGCAGAGGCAGTTGCAGGGGACAACAACCAGAAAACCCTCTTGTTTCAGTGATGCCAGTCCTCAGCAACTGCTTCACTCCTTAAAGACCACTGGAAAAAAATGGGGGGAAAAAACATCCCCAGAGCCCAATTTTTCATCCAGTTTATTCTGTCATTTACTTGCTAAATTAGTCCCTTTTTCTTGATCCTTTCAGGGTAGCTATGTGAAGTACAAGAACTTAACATTTATTCAGGTGTTGCACAAACAGCCAAATAGCTACACGTTTTGCAGACTTCAAACCCAACAAGCAGTAAAACCACAGTAGCAAAAATCAAGCCTTTTTTTCCCTGTTTTTCTTCCGCTAGAATGGTACTTCATACTACCCTAGACATCCTCAGGGAAGATCTTTCTTTTCCTTCTGGATCCTTGCAGAATGCAGGCAATATAGCAGAAAGTAAGAGCACAAAGCAAAAGCACTTGTGATAGTAGTTAGCAGAAAAAAAGTTAGGGTTTTTGACACTATGCTCTAATCTTTCCTGAAGAGCAGCAGGGCCGTATAAACCACATGTGGCACCAGTGAGGTCAGTCTGCACGGACACAATGCTATGCTCACAGTGTTATCACGGCACAACCCAGACCACCACAGTTGTAAAGTCAGCCCATCCCAGGCACAGCTTAGAGTAACGCCACATTCACCCACCTGGAGTTTCCTTCCTCTATTTACTTGCCCTATTTTGTACATCTTGCACAACTCCTTTAGACAAAGCTAACTATAGCTGTAAGTAATCGAATTCTTTAGCTTCCCCTTCCAGTGAAAAATCTGTGGTGAACATGGAACTAAGAAAATAACAGCACCTGCAAAAAAGCATTTTGACATTTTGGAGAGAATTCTTTTCATGGGGCTGGCTACAAAGTAGATCAAAAGTATATGCTTAGTTTTTATCCCAACAACATAAAACCCATTATACTAAATCATTACCCATGGAAAGATTTCAATATATATGAAACTGTCAAAAATGTCCATTATACACATAAAGGGTACTATGCTACGTACCAAAAAAAAAAAAAGTAATATAAAACCTAATGACAAATGGAAAAGATAAATGAACATCTACTACAGAGGCTGGACAATTCCTAAATGGCAAAGGGTCAGAAAAAAATTCTCAGGTTATATTGTAAAGTATTTCTATTATCTTTGTGACTGAGTAAAGCATAAGGAGCGCAATCAATAAATGTCCATGTATGGTTTATTGTTTGGCTCACTACAGCCTATTTCAATTTTCACTGACATGTTGAAGAAAAAACAAACCAACCAAAACCCCCAAAAAGCAGGCCTGCCAACTATACAGAAAGAGACTACTAAACACACTATTCTATACATTGACTTTAAAAACCCCTCTGAGTTGTACACGCACAGAAGTACCACTACCTTCCTTCACAAGCTAATATAGAAACCTCAAGGAAACATAAACCATATGCTAAAATAAGTGCATGCTGGGATAGTAGTTGTGACTTTATATTTCTTTTTAGAATTGCTTTAAAATATTCATGTCAGATAATCTTAAAACATCCTGAGTTTTAAAGAAGTTGAAAGGAAAAGCAACTGATCCTGGAGAATAAATTCCCCATTTCCAAGTATAAGCCTGGATCCACAGGGATCTGTATTCCTCTGATAGCTCCAGTGGTCACAGGCTAATACACCTGCATTGGCTAAAGTAGAGTTACTGGTGTTGAACAAGCACCAGTACAAGATAGCTCATGGTGTGTTCTGATCTTTTTGTTCCCTTTTCTCCAGCTTAATTCAACTTACCTGAAATAACATGTATTACACGGGCCAAAACAAGCCTTTGAACTTTAGACTCAAAATGTTTTCCAAATTTCAGCCTATAATATTTCACAAGCCTTCTGCAACCTCTTACATAAAGCAATACAAGAATCACCTGTACTTATGGGTCTCTTACATTGATATGAATCAGCATTATAAAACACTGACATTGTAATCTCTGAAATGGACATAGCACACACAGACAACCACTCTGAAAGTCCTTGCTGCGAGTCCCAAAGTAACTGCTTGGTCCAAACCTTGAAATCTTTTATTTTTTTGTTTCCTGAATACATTTAACAAACTCAATGGCACACTATTAACATAGCTGTTTGTTACTTATGTCAGCAGCTTTTCTTCATGCCCATTTGTTACTAAACAGGACTGAAAGCAGGAGTATCAAATCATCTCGAGACAGCACTGGACTCTAAACCAGTGAAAATAGTGAATTTACTTCCCGATTCATTCTGAGATACAGTTTCCTCTGAGATGTTTTTCACATAGATTTCAGTAGCTACCAACTGGTTAAGACAGTATATTCTCACATCTGCCCAGTCTCCAATTTTTAGATTGCAGTCATAGCATAGGTGTTACTACCACTAATATCCATAAGCAGTTAAGAAATCAAATCTTTATGGAAAAAGCCACAGGGATTAAAAGGAAGTGCTGTGTTTTGCAGAAAAACACTAGAGGAAGCTACAATCTTTAACAACTTTACCGTAGAAATTCTGAACCATTGTGTGGAAAACGCTTGATTTCGGTGCCATTCTGTAAACTAAGAGTCATTTCTACACCACTTATCAGCTGCAATACTTCCTTACTCTGACTTAGCAGGGCTTCATGAAGTAGCAGTTAAATACAGTGCCTCATAAGAGCTGAGGAAGATGCAGACCTGTGCATGCAAGTGGTTCCAGTTAAACTTCTTCCAGCTGTGTGATAGAAGAGGCACATTCTCTTCAACACAACAGTCAAGACCGTGGCCAAGATGGCAACTTGTGAGACAAGTCTTCAATTCTCACATCTACAACAGACATTATTTGCAGCCTTGGGCTAATTTTTCCATCCCTCATTCTGTGAAATGGGAAGACCAGCCCTTCCTTCCTGCCATTTCCACTCCCTTTTTGCATTGTGACACTGCACAGTTGAAGAAAACCCCCTACAGAAAAAAGTATCTCACTGAGGTAATGATATGCAGCTAGCATGTTACACTCCTTAGGATTCCCTTTTGTCTTGGTGCGTATGTACATCAAGTCAAGAGGGCCCTGAAAGAGCTTGCTTGGTCACCAGAAGCAACATAAGTGTATTAATACAGCATGAGAAGCTGAGATACCTCTTACTAATGCTATATTCTGCCATATTGATACGTATTAATACAGCATGAGAAGCTAAGATACCTCTTGCTAATACTATATTTTGCCATATGGATATATTGCTTGGAACACCATCAGTCTGCTGCCCATTATGGTTAGGGCAAATAATAATCCTACCACATTTAGTACAATATGTCTACGATTGCTACATCACCACTACTGGAAGGAAAATACAGTTTGGCTGGTGTACACAAAAGAGTCTTGAACCTGCAATGTCAGGCAGTTAGTGAGACACAACTGTACCTACAATGTTGTTAAAAAGTGCACAGCAGGATTAGGCTAAAATGCATTTAAAAAAAAATCAGTAGTTGCAAGCAGGTTTTAGAGTCAATGTGCACACTAACAATTCCCCTGGTGCTTCTCTCTGCCTGCAAAGTCAGCATAACAATACACGTGGGAAAGTATTACTTCTACAAAGGAAAATCACCATCTTTTTTAGTTCTAATTCATTAAACATACACATAAAAAGAGAGTCCCATGAGAGACCAGGAAAGTCTATGTTACAATAGCTTAATTATTATTATTTTTATTATTTTAATTTATAACTAATGATAATAATGCTTATCATTATATTATTATTATTTTTAAAATGCACAAAAAGGGAGAAAAGTTTGATCCTGCAAAGTTTAAAGCATTCTACCCTTGAATTAACAAAGCATTTCTGTCTTTACTCTGTCTTTAAGTTCATGAATATTCCTCACGGAACTCAGCTTAGAGGTAAGTATATGCTTAAGTGCTGTGCTGGGTAAGAAACAGCAGTTTGAGCTCTGCAGAATCAAGGATTATGTTTAAATTTTCTGTGGCTGATTTTGTGCTAGTGCTTACCTGAATGTCTTCTTATTGTTTCATTCATTTCTGATACATTAGAAATGCATATTGTTATATTGAAGACTGAATATATGCTCCTATGTATCACAATTGCAGACTTCATGATAAAGGAGAAGAAGGCTTTTACAAGGCTTGGAACCACTCATTTCTTGACCTTATTTCTAGTATTATAAGCTGAAAACTTTTTGCCACTGACAGAATCAGTGCACATTCTCTGTATAATTTCAGTTTTCTAGCAAAAGACTTTTATAAAGGAGGAAAAATTATTGTTTCTAAACATCAGAGATAGTCAACTTGCATGCTAACTCCTTTTCCCACTTTCATTTTGGTTTGCACTAAACTGATGCTGAAGCTATATTGTGCCCACAAAACATCTAATTTCCATAGAAGTTACCCATGTCCTGGATAGAAATGTAAAAAGAAACTGAAATAAATGTTTTCCTCTGCACAGCAATGATAGAATCATATGGTTCTTTGATAGCTACACAGCTGAAGCACACTTTCATCTCAGAAGAAAGTATTCAGCAGCAAACAGAACTACCAATGATAGCATCCTAGCTACTTACTACTGCATAGAAAAATAAGCCAAATACAAGCAAAGAAAAATGCCACAACTGATAAACCAGTCACAGTTAATAAATCACATGAACAAAGATAAGCAAAGGCAACAGTAATGTCATTACTACTCTGACATTGCCCTTGTATTGTCTGTAAATACTCACTTTTAATACACAGTTTCTTTCTGAAGCTTTAAGTCTTCACTGATGGCTGAGGGAAGAAAAGCGAAAGGAGACTTAGAAATAACTCATGTTATTTTACCTTAATATTAAATAAATATTCAGGCAGTAGGAAAGCTACCTTACAACCATGCTATCAGCCTCCCATACTTGAATTCCTTTATTGTTGCAGAGCATAGTAGGTTGTGTAATTTTGTTTGGTTGGGGTTTTTTATATATGTGGACTTATAAGAAACCTGCAACTAGTTAACTTATTTTATTAAAAAGGTTCTCAATGCCTGTAAGGAAAAGACTTACAAGAATGAAAAGAGTGAGAAAATACAACGCAAATCAGGTCAGTTTGAGCCTTGAGGTGCTTAATGCATGTGAAAAGAATATTTGCAAAGAAAACCGAATTTATATTCTAATTTTTCAGTGTTATGAGGAATGAAACAGGAATGCACTCAAACAGTGCCCACTTTGTTAAAAATGCAAACTTGTCACACATTGCTTGAATAAATTACTGAATGTGTGGCTGGTGCCACACACTGCTCTTATCCCCAGGATTTGAATAAAGACTCAATCAAAGGCCCAGACCTGTGAAGTTGGCAAAAACGCCATGCAGAATTCCATAAACTACATGCACATACACTTAGAAGAGATGCCAAAGTCAACCTGCTTGGATATCTGAAAACACTAAAGGTCTGAAAAAGTTAGTCTTTTTTACTTTCATTATTCTACAATGTTTTAATTCCCAAGCAAAATAGTTGTTTGATATCCTTGTAGCCTATTTTCCATGAGCCATTCTTGTAGAGTCAAAGATGCCTCATTCTTTGATGGGATTACAAGTTTTGCTGATAAAGACAAAAGCGGAAATAGAATATACTCTGAATTCTGTAAGGTTTTTAAAGTTCTAAAGTATATAGTTAATGGATTAAATACTGACTAAATGACATAAGTGTTCAAAACAAAAAAAGAAATGTAAAAAGAAAAAACTGTTAGAGGTAATCATGACTCAACCAAAGTCAATTCCATTGACAACAGAGTATTTACACTCTGGAGGTAAATACCACATCTCTGCAAATACAACTAGCAGCAGACAAAATCAGACTGATAAACAATGAGGAGGAGAGGGTATTCATGGACGCAGATATTTTTTAAGCTGAATTTACACAAAAACCCTGTGAAATTGTAATGAACCCCAATTTAAAGTTATAAAGCTGTGAATGAAGACTGTAATCCACACCTACAGAGTAGGGAACCCAGCCTTGCACTACAGAAACTCTAAAATAAGTGCCAAGTTCCAGTATAACCTTTGGTTGAATGAAAGAGAAGCCACAAGAGATCTGGAAGTCATTCTGCTCATCTCTGAAGCACTGCTGAGATCCATAACAAAATACTGCACATGCACTTCTTATATTTTAAGGACATTGAAAAATTTAGAAGGATGAACAGAAGAGGTTTAAGGAATCAAACTAAGGGACAAAGAATAGAATATTAAAAAGCTGCTTTAAATACACTTAAAAAAAAAAAAAGAAAAAGAAAATATCTGTTATCATGGCTCTTAAATCTTGCAAAATAAGTCTAACAAGACCCAATGATAACAACAAAAGTGAGGCACATTGAAATTAGATAAAGCTTCTAATAGTAAGAATAATAAACTACTGAAATAAGAGAAGAAATGGCAAGCTCCCTATTCCTAATGTTTTCAAATGACTGGATGCCTTTCTATTAACACTGTTTTTCTCAAACATGATGGTCACTAGTTCAAACATGGCCTGTATTCCCAGGAGGTTGGAAAATTGATCTAACTATAGACCCTGACATAAGAGGTGATTTCAGCAGTTCACAGCCAGCAATGTGAGGTTCCTTTTTTATGTCATGTCTACAACCGATCCTGTGGGCAGTTAGAAAAACTGCCACCTGAAATTGGGTTTGAACTAAACAAAAATCTTCTCTCTCCCCCTTCTCCTTAACTCTACTACCACAGAGTTTCTCTGTATCCTCTCCAAACTATCTATACCTACTCCCCACAACTTTGCTCAGACAACTCATCTGCTATTCTGAGACAATAAGTATACGTTAAGCTTCTTCAAAATGAGACTCACAGGTGAAGTTTATGAGGTATTTTTAAAAAAATATTCATCATACTATTACACATACTCTGGTTTATATTGCAAATGTGTCTCCTTACCCTCGATTTTCTTTAATCATAAACAAATGTAATTTTGCATATTTCTACCTGAATATTCCATTTTAGGATAGCCAAGACCAAAACTGTCTTAAAACAGTAAATGATCACAGAATTCATATTGTTTTGCCTTAATTTTTTCCCCACAAATGCACATAAACAGAACTAATAGCAGTATGAACTTGGATAACAGAACTTAACTTGAGAGCTTGTTTTAGTGAAAGAAATGCTTCTTTTCAACACAGCATTTGTGACAACTACTGTATAGGAAAAAAAGTTCAATTGTGTGATTGTGGCTAACATGACTTAAATTTCTTTTCCCTCCTGGAGGCATCACAAGGTTAGGTAAATCCAGACAGAGAAATTATGTAGATGCAGAGAAACAGTAGCTAAGAAGTTTTCTGAAAATCTCACCCAAACTCAGATGAAACTGCCCAGGTATTAGACAAGACCATCTGTCTCAAAGTAGAGTTTACTTCCTGCCTGTTTTTCATCTCATACTTACTGAGATTCTGCACGCAGCAAATGCATTTCAGACTTCTCCCTGGAAGCACTGGAGGAGGCAGGTCACACCTAGAGCAAGTGAAAGTGCACTGCTAGTTGCAAGCATTAAAGTATTCCCCAGGGAGCAGCAGGGTACTATGTTCCCCCATTGCAGGGTGAGTCTTGCCGTCTCTCTCTTGGAAAACGTCAGCAAGGCAGCCCTTGCACTGAAAATAGCTCTCAGATTTCACTGATGTTTGCAATTCATTGTCAGGCAAGGATAAGAATGTTACATTGTCCAGATTGGCTATTCTTTCATGCTGCTTACAGTAGTAAGCATAGCTAAAGCACACCAAAGCCAGTGGTGGAAAGCTGGTGTACTCAATACCTGTGAGGGAGGACAACCAAGCAGCCAGGCACCGTTATGTTTTGCATCTGTTTGGGAAAAGTCTTCAAGGGCATTCCCACATACAGTCAAATCCAGACCAGTCACAGGAGGGAGCAATCTTGGAGAACAGAGACAAACACTGTGAGAAATCAATTATAAATATGGTGCCAAAGAAGTGAAGGCATTATGGCTGACATCACACTTGACTTTTTGGTAGTATTCAAGAAGCCACAAGCATGGTGCACCCACATTCACCTCTCCAGAGCACCCTCAGAGAGTTTGACTCTCCTGTGACACTGCTATGCTGGGCACCATTCCTCACCTGACCTTTTCTTCACTGATCTCTGGTCTGGTCATTGTCTCTCTTCTTATACTGCTATCCATTCCCATCTCCTTTTTGAACACCAGTTTCCAGACATGCAAGGGCCTTCTGGACATGTGCCTTTCTTCTTACACTCTTTGCTGTCTTCTTTACTGAAGCCTCATACTTTATTCTCTCTGCTCTTCTCAGAAATTTCTTCCCTCCTTGTGCATTCAAAGGGTTTTCACACTGCCTGATCTGAGTTCTTAAAAAGATAAAAAATAAGGATGAACAGTTATTTACAACTTTTTGTGTGTGTGTGACTGAAATCTAGACTAAACCACAGAGAAATGACACAAGTAACAGCATCTCCATTCAACAAAATGCCTGTTTATACTCATACACCAAGAAACACAAGATTTATTTGTAAAAAGCAGTACTTCCAAAGCATAATTCAGTGTTTTTTCTTAAGTTGTGTTTAATTTGATGTCTTTTATTCTAAATTACTTTCCTTTCTTTTTTTAGATGTTACCATTATTTTACTATTATGAAGTAGTCCTCACTAGTCCTGCACTGGAGCAGCTGTACCCAGGGAGATGCTGGCCACCTCTCCCCTGCCGTAGGGCCACCACTGTCACCAGGCCCACTCTGGGCTCACTAACCTGCCTCTGCTCTGCAGACATGCTATCCACGAGTGACTAGCCTGACCTCTATTTGGGGCAAAACAGTGACAGTGCTGCCTTGCACACAGGCTTTCCATCACATTTTCAGCTGCAGAGGCACAGTGTGTTTCCTCTCCTTCCTCCTGACTGCCCTGAGGCATCTATCACCAGCGACCAAGCAGCAAGCCACCCTTGTCTGGGAACTGCGCTCAGGAAGTTTGCAGGGTGAAATTAGAAATGGAGAAATAAATTGTGGAGGTATACCCTGCTCCCAGAGGCTAAACCCATTGCCACGGTGATCCCAGAGAAACACAACCCACATCTGAAAGGAGGAGGGAGAGCTGTGCTGTAGATTTTTACAGCCACTCAATATAACTCACCATGAGCAGCACATCCACTGGGCTGGAAAACGGGGGGAGGAAGGGGAAATCACATTCTTTTCCCAGGCCATTTTAGTTAATACCTGCTGTGACCATATGCTCACTCATAAAAACAATCTCTGCATGAAATATTAAAGTATTTCCATGCAAATCTCTAAGTTCTGCATTTATGGCACTCAATCTTTTTTGTTCATTCTATCACTCCTTCTTAAATAATTAACACCAGGTACAAAATATCTTTTACATTAATTCCTACTACCACTAAAAGAGCAGCTCCATCTGATGTCTACCACTTAGTACCAAGTGATGTACAAGGCTGATTTACCCTTTATATTCAAGTTTTTTACGTAAAGGGCAATATTTTTCCCATGGGGACAACTGAAACTTTCCACCTGAGCATGCTTTCAAGAGACTTGCCACCAGAGGACCAACTCCTGGAGAGAGATGGACATCAAAGCTGCCCTCAGCCCTCTGTTCTGTGGCATGGCTGGCCCCTGAGTCTTCAACTATTAGCACTTTCACACCTTTTGTAGCTCTGCATATTCACCTCCAGGCATCTGCCTCCTCTCAGGCACCAGCAGCAAGCCCGCCTCAGCTTTCTGCACACCCCCAGTAGGGCATCAGGTCATGGCCCCAAGGCCAAGTGCTCCTCCGAGACCCTGCACCAACCCTTGGAACAGTTCATCAGCTTCTCCTGTTGCCTCTCCCAAGCATTTTCTGTCCTTTACCTTCCCTTTTTACCTTGGCAACTCCCCGAGGTTGTTGCCATGGAAATCCCCAATTACGATCCCTCCTCGGTCTCTCTGAGCCCCAGGAACCAGCCCCTGGAAGTTTCTTTCTTCTGCTAGCAGCAACCTCTCTTGTGCAGGGGGTTGTGTCCCCCCCTGCACAGCAGCTCTCTGGGTTCAAACTGCACTTTAGTCAGTCCCAGTACTGCTGCAAGACGAACCCCACTCCACATCACAATCTGTCACTGTACGCCATGACAAATAGCTCATATTTTTTGCTTACAGCATATCTGAAATGTAATTAAAAGTGTTGGATAATTCAGTTTAAAAAAAAAAAAATCAGAAATGCTCTGGTTCTTCAGTTTGACAGGGCTCATCTAGTAATATTCAGAGTGCACTGCTTAATACAATAACTATGAATTAACTTAAAATGGTCATTTTACCACAATAAAGTAGAAAAGATTTCCAAAAGGAAAAGGAAATGCTAACCTACATATGCCATTGAAAATCTTCCCCATAAATCTTTATTTTGGTTTTGTACACATTTGATATTGCTGTTGGTGAATTTTGTAAAAAGTATTTGTACTTGAATCCAGTTAAAGAAGTTAATATGAAGGAATAAACCTATATTTTTCAGCAAAAGTACAAATAACATTTTTTAGTTTCTTGATTAAAATGTCATAGAATTGAAGAAAATCTTACTTTCACTGCAATGATGCTAATGCTATCTCTAAGTAGAATGATACATAATGCAATAGGAAAGACAATAAGAAGTGATCCATATGTTATCCACCACCATTCACTGACAGGTGCTTTTTTTTTAACCAATATAGTGTGTAATGGGCACAATAACTAGAATAACAAAAAGCCGTTTTCACTTCCAACACACTTTACAATAATGCTTTTGCAATTTAAGTACTATTCTTAATCCATTTTCACAGGCCTTTACCTTAATGCAACAAAATGAAAGTGACCCTAGGGACATTTTCTCCTCTCCACTACAGACAATACAGGCAAACTATGCAAACTCAAAACCATGAAGATTGCTGCTCTTAAATGGAACTGTCTCCATCAGAGCACAGAGACACTTTACAGACACTGAGACATAACTGTGTATTTACTTTACCAGCAGTGTAATTTGCTACACCGTGATTTGTGCTGCAACTGTGGTTTATAAAATCATAGTACAATTATTTAATGCAGTTCAATTTGCAAAACCCTCTCTGGCAATTGGTTAATAATAACTGAGTCAATCTGAGCAAAGCACTCTCAATAATCACTGTGTTACCATTTTTTTCAATTACTTCTAAGTTAAGTGCAAATTTCTTACCTCTGAACAGCTCTACTTGAACTTACTTAATAATGATCACCTTTGCCAGTTACAAAAGCAACATGCTAACTTTTCTTTCTCTTACAGTGAAACATAGCAATTTCCAATGTGACATAATAATAAAGAAACCTAATAGGTATCCAAATGTGAGACACTGTCAAAAGGAAGTAGTTTTAAATTCTCTTCAAACAACTGCCATTGAAAAGCAGTGTTATAGTCAATTATGCAGAGCAACATACAGAAAAAACACACGTATGCTTTCTTTCAATTAAAATTACACATTTCAGTCATATACAAAGGCAAGATTTGTCAAGCTATTTCACTCACCATAGGAAAAAAAATGGAGGAAAAAAAGGAACACAGAAAAAAAATAATAATAATTTCAGAAACAGTAATTTCAGAAGCATATATTTCAAATTTTGTTTTATATAAACTTAATATGTGGTTATGTTTTCATAACTACTAAAAGCTGAAATAAAAACCATTTTATCTAAAAATTATATCTTTTCTCCAATCTCATTTTAGCAGAAAAAACAAAAAAGCTGTTTTAGAATGGACTCTTTTCAGGGTGCTTGCTACCTGGTATAGAAAAAAAAGTCTTATTTAAAAGCTGTGTTTAAAAGAAATGTGTTTGTCATCTTCAAAGAAAACCTTAACACTTTTTTTTTTTTGCTTTTCATATGACAGCCCTTTAAAAGGACTGAGGCAGAGCTCAAGAGTTTCACACTCCTATCTACTATCTCTATCTAGAAATAATTAAGTAATTATTGTGACCCAGTAGTTTCCTGGGAAACAGGAACTCATTTGGGAGCTTCGATTAAGAAAGCATGGAAGACAGACCTGCTGTTTATATCCCTATCTCTTTGAGGACTGGTATATATGTATAAATAAAACATATATATATTTTATATGTTTAAATTACCCTTACCCACCATACTTGCATCACTGCTTTCCCCTTGTCTGCAAAACTGAATTGCAAAGCCCTGCATAGGCACCATGGCTTGGCAGAAAGGAGACAGGTACCAAAATCAGGATATGTATCAGAAGAATGTTTTGAAGTGTACAAGGCCAAGCCATTTCTGCTTTTGGGCGAAAACCAGCTTCCAAGTAGCCAATGAAACATTTTCCCCCAGACTTCAGAAGTAGGATCATGTGCTGGGGATGATGACGTTCTGGGGATTAAAAATGAAGAATGTACTCATCCCTGCTAGCAATCACAGTACAGGTGCCAATGAATGAATTAACAGGCACAGAGATTATGCTCCCCTGCTCAGCTTTTAAAAATCAATGTGCTAACAGTTGTTGTGGTTTAAACCCAGCCAGACAGCTTGTTCACTCACTTCTCCCCCTTCTTGCCCTCCCCCTACTCCCGGAGGGACAGAGAGGAGAATCGAAAAGA